GACTTAAATATTAAATCTTACTTATAAATTATTCTTAATTTTGCATTAATCTCTAAAATTCAATAATTCCATTTTTTAAAATACGAATATGTGGGGAATCATAATTGAAGATTAATTTTCAGAACCACACTTAAAAAAATAAAATCTTTGAAATTAGGTAATCAAAATTATTCTATGTATATTAAGAAATACTTTTAATTCAAAAAAATAATTTCAAGACTTTTGGATTTATAATAAAGATATAATGAAAGAAAATTGAGAACGAGTAAATTAAATCATTTTCAAAATGAACAATGAATAGTTATTTTAAGAAATTGAGAAAAACTCTGAGAATTATAGACATAAATCTATTTAAATAATAAAAATAAATTAATGAGGATAGACCTTATTTTCTTATTGGTACAAAATACCCTTAAAACATACTTTTACACCTGTTGAAAATGAGCAGTTTTATTAAAATCATAATTTTATACGATTAATTGGATGTATCAACTGATAATTCAAGGAAATTCCTTTTAATTAATTCTATAATAATGTTAATATTTTGAAATGCTATTATATTTGAAATTGATGTATCAAAATTAACAAATTCTGAGAGAATAATAAATATTAAATTTTAATTTATGGTAAGCTAGGCCAAATACCAATAAAATTATATTCAGGATAACTTTGATGACAAGATTAGCACTATCGATTTAATTAAAGGAGCTTTTGAAGGATTCCCAAGTTAAAGAATTGATTTTCTTTGATGCATTTGGAAAACATATATATTGTTAAGAAGTTGGATGGATTGCTTATTTTAAAATGAATAGGCAGTTGTTAATTAATTTAAAGAAAAAAAATTGGATACATCAAATAAATATTATATAAGTAGTTACAATTATAGTGAAAAAATGTGTCCTATATATTAGGGTATGTTAATCTTATATTTATAAAGTTAGAATGAATAGTGGTTTTATAAGACAGAGTTTGTTGAGATATGAGAATGGAATAAAGATATCCTATCATTAGATGGAGAGACCAATTGGCTTTGAAAGTTTAAAATGGATGAAGTAGAAAAGAGTTAAGAGATTTTTGAATGAAAATGAAGCATTTTAAAAAGAAGTGAGACAAATGGAATAAAATGGAGAAGGAGCTTAAATATTTTTACTTAAATGCAATCCCTATCTAATTTGTAATATTGCTATTCCCCTCACTCACTGTTGTAAAATTTTCTTATGTTTCAAATAGTATGTTATCATTTTTTCATCATTATGATTTTATTCACTATCAATGCATAAAATTCTGCCTTATTAGCAACTTTATTGAATCCCATTATATGTTCATCTAAATTTTAAATCTGAATTTATTCTAATTTCACCTACTTATCTCAATCTTATAATATAAACCCTATCACATCCTTTCCACATCCACTTTTGAATAGTGTATTCCATTGCTTATCTTAATAATTTTAAATGCCTCCTTAATATGGCAGGTGTCCAAATAATTTTCCCAATATTTCTATATTAAATCCTCTCTGTACTCCAGCAGCTTTCATATTATTTTTCTCAATGTATTTCTTTTGCATCCATAGTTTAGGTTATATATCATCAAAAAATGTGGTTTCACAAATAATAACCATAATCTAACCATGTAACTTCTAATTTGATGTTAGAACCAATCCTTCAATATTCAGCCACGCTCCAATCTATCTGTATGTGTCTATCTTCTTATATTCTATTCTAACAGTTGTTCATTCTTCCTCTTTGCAATATATTCACATTTATTAATACTAATCTTCATAAAATATTCTAATGTAACTTCTCTGAGTATTTCCACTTGTATGTGTGACACTTTTCGATTATTTTAGGATTAGTATATTGTCAGCGTCTGCTAGTCTGCCTCAACTGCTTGTCCTTATTTCTCGTCCCTTGAACATTTAAAATGAATGATTTCATTATGACTCTTGTAAAAAGTGATGATTAATGCAATCCTTCTTCAGATATATTTTCATTTGCTCTCTTTATGATTAATTTGATAAAGCTGCTCTCTATCTAATGTATTATACGGCTTTACTTCGCTTAAATTCTGTTATTTACCATAGACTAATTTAC